TTGATGTGCCCCCCGCCACCGTGCCGGCGGCTCCCATGGCGGTGGCACGGAAAATCAAAACTTTGTTGACGGTGAACATCTTGGTCTTCGTGGGCATCATCCTCTTCTCCGTGTACTGCAGGATCCAGGACCGCTCCCAGGAGCTGGTGCAGATCGTCCGGAGCGCGGACCGCCGGGCCAGGAGCCGCGGCGCCAAGGTGGGCAGCCTGGCCGACAGGGAGTCCATCCTGCAGCGCCTGGACCACCTGGAGGAGGTGGTCTACAACCAGCTGAATGGTACGCGGGGCCGGGAGGGGGGTGCCCTGTGTGCTGGGAGGGTGCTCTGGGCTGGGGAAGAGCACCCGAAGTGCCTGCCCGGGCACTGCTCTCACCGACCCCACTGCTGAAGTGCTGGGAGCGGAGGGAAAGGAGGTGACCGGAGGGATTTGCTGGAGGGGTTTGTTGAGCCCCCCGCCAACTCTTGGTCCGAAGTCAGGACTTCCTCAGTAGATGCAAAGTTAGGAGTTCACGGGTGGAAGGATTGGTGGAAGTCCCTACGAACTGTAGCAGGTTACGGTTTTCCTGGGTGTATTAACTCTGCACGGGTAGGTGTTTGTAGAGCAAATACACTGTTAGGTTATAGCTGGAAGTCATCTACGTGGTCTCAGAACTACTTTAAAAACATTCTACTGAGTTCTTACGCTGCGTACTTTTAATGGTCTATTTAAACATAGCACCCATATGTTTTCTTAATGACTTTGCCGTTTAAATTTGTTATTATCTTTGGTGAGGAGGGGAAGCATCTACCACTTCTTTTTATGACATATCGTTCTGATTCACCAGCCTTGAAAAATCTCAGTAGGTAAGCAAAGAACCCTTCCATGGTAGTTAGAACAGGCTAAGCCATAAAAGTTGTTATAGGACAACTAATGTTTCGTATAGAAACTTATTTTTCAAAACAAGTGCATCTGTACTTGCGTATATCTGTAAAGTTCTAAAAGTGGAACATCAAAGAAATAAGTATGTGATTAAATACATCAGTGATTTGGATGAGGAAAGGCTGAAGGAGTGAACTTTTGCATAAAATTATAATATGGATGTGTCTAGCACCAAATAAACCTTCCAGTGTAAATATGTTTAAGTATACCAAGTATGCTCCTAGGCTGCTTTTGAAAATCTTACTCGTAACATTGATTTAGCAAAGGCTACTGTGGTCTCAAAATGCAGACAAATAGTGAGGGTTAAGATAAAGTATATTTCCTATTACTACTTTCTGAATGGCTGTATGAATCTAAGTAGGTTAGACTGTTATGGTAATACGCAGTCTATGCCAGCAAGTGTTGCAGAACAGGCATCCCCTTACGCACTCATCTGTATAAACAGGGAAGAGAGAAGGGGAATGTGGAGTGTGGGTGTTAGTCACAAAAATACACATTCATGAATTAGAGGGAAAGTGTCAACAGCTGTGTTTCCTAACTGTATTTTGGAGCGGTTTTGAAGAATGTAGGATTTAAGAGGGGAATCCTACTCTCAAATTCAACAAAGCCATAGAGTTCCCAAACTAAATTAGATCAGTCCCTGAGCTATATCCATAGTTGCTCAACTGAGTGGGGTTTTTTGGCCTGAATTGAGCCAGGTTTGTTCTTGGTGTTGTTCATAGGTGAGACTTTGGGTAGGATTTACCTGCTCTGGGCTCATCTCAGCGTCGCATCCCCTGGAGAATCAGCAGGAGTCCTTAATGTACTAGGCAGGCACCACTGCTCGTAATGACTGTGGCTTCACAGTAAACAGGAAGTTCTCTGTGAAGTATGCCTCAATTTGGGGGACTTTTTTTCTCCTTTTTTAGTTTGATTTGTTGGATATGGAACTTCATAGTGAAATTACTTGAATTTAAATGTTATGTTGCTTCTTCAGGACATAATAAACACTGCAGGCAGTTTCCTCTTCTTGAAAGTTCTTACACAGGAAAATACAGAAAGTTTTTCACTGCTTCACTTTTCAAATTTCCTATTAATTTCCCTTCAGTTTCTCTCTGACACAGTTGGTTTTCTTATTACACAGCGATACACTAACACAACAGATTAATTATTTCATCATCATTGTGAAAAGATACTTCATCGTTTTCTGTTTTGTTTGTTTTTTTTTTCTCTCATCCTATGGCAACCAAACCGAAAAGTCCTAAAAAATTAAGAGGTGCTCCATTGAAATCATCAGAGATGCATTACTGTAAGTGAAATCAAGATCAAGCATCTGTGTTTGGGTTTAGCTCACTGATATTCCGTTTTTAATATCATGACTCATTACTTATGCCATTAATGGGCATAATGCTGTTCTGGCAGCATTGAGATTCAAGGGAGCCTGTCTGTGACTATGCTCTACCGTGTCTCACAGAAAGACTGGTATTACAGAAGCGCTCTGTCGGCTCTGGAGCTGGGCATTTTCATCCCAATGTTGAGCAAGGTGTCTCAGACATTATCCTGTATACTGCTTTATCACAAGATTAGAGAGCCATCTGAGGCCTTCTTGGATGTTACTTTTTCATGAGGTAGGGCAAAGTCACTTTTATACAGAGAGACAGACATGGGTAGACACATTTTATTCACACGGAACATGAATTCCTTGCATGCCCAGAACTTCCACAAGCACCAGGAGTTTGAGTCCAGCTCAGTGTTATAGTTACAGTAGGTCTGTCCAGATGGGTATTTCAATTTTCTACTCTTGCTTTTTTCTATTTTGAGATCAGCAAATTTATAGCCACCTATTAAGTATCTTATATTTTTGGTAATAAAGTCTTGGTGTTCTCTTATTTAATTCTCCTATTCAGATTAGTCCTAAACCGGTAAGACCTTACCAGGATTTTCTAGAGACTCTATTGAAGATCCAGTGCAATAGAAAGATGCTTCTGTGAGAGACCAGCCCTGCAGCTGTAGCTATACAGCATTTTGTTTCTGCCACACTTTTTTTGTTTCCATGCAATCAAAAAAATGTTATTTGAAAGTGTACCTTCTGCAAGGAAAAATAAACACAAGCAGTAATGCCACAAGTGTATCAAGAGGCAACCTAAAACCAGTCACTAGAGAACTAGTTATCTTTTCAGTCTGAAGAAAAACTGCATACAATGTCTGTGGAGGTGTGTGTAGAACACAGAGGACCATGCATGAAAGTCAGCAGAAAGCTTGGTACTTGCAGTTATCTTTGGCAGAACAATAATTTTTAGGATAGAATGAATGAGAATTGCCATGATTCCCTGCAGAGTCATGCAGACATACACCCAAATAATAGATTGCAGTAGGCTCATGATTTGGTTTTCTACCAACTTAGAACAGTAGTATTTCTGAAAGCTTTCTGTATGCTCAGCTGCTGCTGGTTTTGGTGGAAGTAAATGAATGGAGCATGCAAAAGGAAAGGAAAGCAATGAAACGTGTCTGTGGAATTTCCTTGGTGAAACTTTACCTCTTAATATTTGACTTTGGGTATAATATTTATTTTGAAAAACTGAGTTACTCTAGATCTAGTTAATCAGTCTATATATTTTTTTCATTTTTACTGTGGTATTTCTATTGATGAATATGATTTATTGTCAGTCAACACAGAACTAATGCCAGATAGACTTAGTACCAATTCATGAAATGGCATAATGGTAACACCTTGTTATTTTCTTCCTTTGCCTCTATTTTTTGTAAAGGGGAAAAAAAAATTAATTGACTGAATTTTTCCCCTAATCAGTTTTGCATCTGAGTCTATTGCTAATGATTTACCACAGAGGATAAAAAATTTTTGATGCCCCAAGTAAAGCATGACCTTTCATGCCAAAAGCAATTGAAGGGTCAGACTACAATTTCACTGTAATTGCCTTTTTCCCTTTTCACTGTCTCTTTCCAGTAATACACAACAATCAATACAGCATGTAATTAGATTTCATTCAATCTGCAAAGATTAAGAGAGTTTTCATCTCCTCATTATGTATGCTCACATCATGTCTCCCTACCCATGTCTTCTACATTAGACCTCTTTGACTTGTTCTATTGCAGGCGTGGAGGAATAAGTTTGGAGTATTCTCTTGAATTTGACAGATTATCATTCTTTACACATCATAATTTGATTTTGCTCTCTTTGTGAAGATTAAATACAATAGCAATTTCTAGTTTGATAGATGGGTTTTATATTGCATATGCAATTCATGGAGGAGGCTGGGGTAAAAAAGTGGACAATTCACATAATTGCAGCACACAGCCTTAAAATGATGGAAATAGCAGGTCCTGGGTGCAGAGGACTGATTCATGCAGACTGTGACTCCTGATTTTTATAGTGTACTGGAAGCAAAGTGATTGCATTTAAAATTCAGCCTGGCAATCTGCATACTTAAAAGGTACAGTAGTATTTTTAAAAGGACAGTTTATTCTTCATAGGCTTGGGACTGGTTGAAAATGGTTCCAAATTTCCGTATCGAAAGTAAGGCTTGGGAACAGACTACAAATGAATCATGCAAATGTCCACATCAGATTTGTCAAAAAGAAGCTTTTACAGCTGGCAACTTTCAGATGAAGAGTAATTCCTTTGCAGAGAAGAGAGCTAAAGCCACACGTGCATGGGGGAAGATTAAGTGTGACTGCCAGCCTTGTGTTAATGAAAATGCACCTTCTTACGCCCACATACGGATTGTCATGTTATAACTATTTCTGTTTAATTTTCTGTGGTCTGATGCTAACATCCATCTGACAAAATGATCCCATTCTTATCTCCAAAAGTATCAACTTACCTGTGGGGGCCACACTCAGCCATGTGCTTTCATTGTCCTAGAGAGTGGCTTCTTCATGTGGTCTTATTTTGAGGCTGCAGTTTATTGGTTTACCACACAGATTATAACAAGTATTTTCAATTGCTCTGGATCAGTTACTTGAGTTTAAGTAAGTAACCATTGTTACAGGTCTGACCTTCTGTGTTGCAAAATGATGGTCAAAGTCCAAAAGACTTCTCATTGGCTTTAGTTGTCTTAGTCTTGATTTATATAGCTGATGAAATTCCTAATCCATGCCTTCAGAAAGGACAAGATTCTATCCCCCAAAATAAGGGAAGAAAACATCATGAATCAATATTTAGATAGCCCCTAAAAAAATATAAGGTAATATTCAGAATAGTATTATTCTATTTAGACACTTTAAGAAGAAAAGGTCTAAAGTTTTGGTAGGAAAAAAAGGTAAATCTCTTTTGTAAAACAGGCAAAATTGCATTCAACTCTTCAAAATATTGACAAATATAAAAAAGATATCCATTCCAGCAGCACATCAGTGATTTTA